TGTGGGGGAATCACCTCAGGGGACGGACAGATGGCTACAGAAGGCAATAGCACCAATTAAAAATGTTAGAAAAATCACAGCCAGACAAAAGCAGGCTCGTTTTAGTTCATCTTTATTGTTTTTGTTCAGATTTTGAAAGCATTTCTTTAACTGCAAAAATGGGTCCAATGCCTTGTGCACTGGAGAGCAGTCCGATCCCTGCCCTAGTGCATGAGGCTAAGAGGTGCTGGGAAGATGTAGTCTGGTTCACCTCAATCCACAGCACTGTGTCTGTATATACACATAGACAGCCCCAATATTGATGCAACCAGATAACCATCTGAGTGGAAAGATATCCAAATTATTAAAAAATCTCTTTGTCTAAGGTACGCTATGGCTCCACCATAAATACTCACCAGTAATATGCCGCAAAACAGTTAGTGAGGAAGATTTAAAGTATCTTAAAAGGCGGTCTAGCTTTACCTGTAGGCTGATGATGTCAGCGTCACAGCTGGTGATTTCCTCCATGATTCCCTTCTTCCTGTACTCCCAGTTTAAGGCCCAGGATGGACAGTAACCATACAGCTGTCGCGTGGCATACTTGTCGCACAGCACGTTGTAGCACATAACCGTGAACACAGCTACAGGGAGACAAGTAAAGTTTGCTAAATTACTGAATCATCTGAGAAACACGACACATCTGACAGTTACGAATGTAGTTTACCCCAAACTCAGAGTCAGAATACTTTATTAATCCCTAAGGAAATCATGTGGTTACAGTTGCTCCAAGACAATAACAGTAACAGACTGAACTAAATTAAATAACACAACATATTACAAAGTTTACAAAATATAAGAAAGAAAGCTCAGAACGGATCATCAATGGACTTTGCTAATGCTAACTTTAAGAAATCTGAATGTTTATCTCAGTTTCAGATTTATGAGCCAGTTTCAGTTGAAGCTTTTTCTGTCAAACACAGCCATAAAGCTAACGTTAACCGTTACCAGAATCCAAATGGGGAAGTTATTAAGAAAAAAAAGAAATCTTCTCCAGGTACATCTGTTTTACATCCCAGGCTGTAAAGGTGCTATTTAATGCTATAAAAATGCAAGTTTATATAATAAAAGAAAGTTTTTATTTTATGCATGATATCAATTTTTACTGCAGCCATAAGGGAGATTATAGAAAATACCTACAGTGGCTTATCCAGATTTTCAGACGTACATAATTGTACTATAACACGGCATGCTGGGTAATGCTGGGCTTTACGGATAACCTAAAGAGCATAAGAAGCCATCAGCTCATAAACGACTCACTCCCAGTGCCAGGTTATTATATGAAGGAAACTTACCGGTGGGGATCATTTGGTCTCGCTCTTTCAGAGTGATCCAAGGTCTTTGGGGGAGCTGCTCTGGGTGCACTGGAAAAACAGGCCGGGATTAGCGCTCATTTGTGCATGACAGACACAGTGGTTTACCTGCTATGATATACCTGCAGCGCTGAGGTCTACAAAAAGCTGTTTGATAAAATATGCATGAGTTCTGATAAACAGATGAGGGGTGAGGTCATGCGTTGCCGAGCCGTTTACCTGCTAGATTGTCGAGCATGTAGTTCAAAAGCTTTCTGGTTCCATCTGGCTCCTGGTACAAATTGAGGATGTCTTGGGACAAAGGATTTCCTGCAGATAAGATAAGATAA